TTCCACGGTTCTGAAATAGGAGGGACTAACATAAACTAAGTTGCTTAAGGCAGAAATATTCTGAAATGCAAACAAAGGAAGGAAAGGAGCATGGCATCTACATTACACGTGAGGCTTAACTAACATTTCTGTTTAAGAATGGCATGCATTCCAGAGTTGGGCAAGGCAAAGTGATGAATCAATCCCCATGTCACTGGCTTAATTTCCTAACTCTTTTGCATTGTCTAGATTTACATTACAGGCGCTTCTGGCCTGGTGGTCGACATTTGATCTCTGGAAGCACAGTGCACTTCAGAAGCACAACGCAGGGTAAAGGGACTGCCAGACATGCAGGTGGAGTTCGCGGATCAGCAGATCCTGCTCACACAAGCACACCTACCAAGATCCACCTGGAGTTCGGTAAGTCTTTCCCATTTGACCAGACACTGCATCTGCAATCATTTGTTCATGTTGACATTGGGGTGTGATTTAGTTTGCTCCTCGCTCTGCAGCCACTATTTTACACTGATTTGGTGCCGGGAGTGGGGGTGGGGAACCACTGAAACCACCATAGAGAAAGGAAGAGGCGCACGTCCCAGACAATGGCGCATGCCAGCAGCAATCCTTATGAAGGGGCACGCCACTGACCACCATGATAATCTTTGTGAATGTCCGGATTCTAACCTCGTGTTCTTGTACACGACATTGTGGTGACACTCAGGGTCAGTAGGTAGGACATCATCTCTGGCTTCCTCAGGTGCACAAGGAGACGCTAGCACCCGAGCAAAGAAACCTGGGAGGACTCCCCTTGGCTGAGCCCTGAGGAGCACAGAAGGCCCAGGACGTCCAACAACACAAATGAGACCCCGGACATGACACCCACCTCCCCACGTGGGTGCTCTTTCACATGCAGCAGGAACAAGAGGACAAGAAGGAGGGCCCAGGGGGCTGTGAAACTGCTCTGGTATCTTCCGTCTTCTTTCCCAAGTACGTACTGGCCTCTTATCTTGTCCACCCTCTCCAGAAACACACCTCCGGTCTGATACACTCTTTATGTTTCTTTGTTGTATCTCTTATCAGCGCTCATTGACCAACATTCTTCCACTTGCTGGAAAGGAGTTCTTGCTGATACGCTTCTTCTTTTCCTTTTTGTATTCCAGTATTCTGCAGTACACTCTGTCAAAACACGAGCTCCAGCACCCCTGGGAGATTCAGGTGCAGAAGGGCAGGCCACATGAGCTGTAAACGCTTTCTGTTCCCAGGCAAAGCTGTGCGGTGAAGAACATTGTGTTAGGGAGATCTGCTGTAGCTGGGGTAGGATGGCCAGACCCCTTCACCTCTGTTAATGGCCTCCAAACCCACAAGTCAAATCATAATGGACTCTGAGTATGTCCTATGCAATTGGAAAGGCCGTTTTTGGCCAGCAAAGGTTTTGTCCAGATCTAGCACCTCACGAAAAACTAAGAAGAAACAGGCATGTTGTCTACAAGTTGAAATACTCTCAGTAGGCAAAAAAATTAAAGTGCAAAACCGAGACGTGAAGATCCTAAACGAGTATCAAATTGAATCCATTGCCTCCTCACTAGGGGCCAAGTCGAAGGCCAGCGCCCCGCCTGGTGAAGAAGTGGCCTACAGAAGCGCTCTGACGGTGGCACTGGACATGCTGCAGGAGAGAGCAAAGCTGGATCAGGCAAGAGCCTCAGATGACCCAGAGGTCACTACGCAGTCTCAAAAGGGGCCACAAAAGCGACCTCGTAGAAAGTATCGGAAGACCAAAAAGAACTCACCGAAAAGCCTTCAGAAAAGAGAAAACCTCAAATCACTGTTGGTCCCTTCAGGGGGCGAGGACACCCCAGACGGAGACAAAGCACAGGTGCACACCTCTGTTGCTCCTGTTCCTAGGGGATCGCAAGCAAAGTCCTCACACAGCTCCAGTGTGTGCCTAAACTTCCCGCTGCTTTCAGAAGATGACCGTGAGAAAGAGGGCAGGGGAAAAAGGGTCATCTCAAGAGTTACATGCCAGCATTGCACAGCCAAGGAGGAAAGTGCAGGTGCTAAAGGTGGAGGCATCCTTCCATCTCGGCCACCTGGTTTCATCGCCTCTGTGCCCAAGGCTTTGAAAGGAAAGGCATGTGGAACCCGCCCAAAGACCCTGGCCCTCTCTTCTGACTTTTCTACCATCTCTGGGAATGCACAAGGAGCCAGGAAGCCAGGCTCGGAAGATACAGCAGCATCCCCCAGTTCCCCTGAGCGGGGGCTGCATCATTCACTCCATCTGGCAAGCAGCAAAAAGAAGCTGAAGGTACCAGAGTCTGAGAAAAGACGGCAGGAACCTCGACCTTTAGTTGAGTCAAAGGCTATTCACTCCACCCCAGCTGTGAAGAAGGGTGGCACCAAGAAAGCGGCACAACTGACAAGAATGGCTTTCCCTCGGAAGCCGTGTTCCATTACAAGAGGAACGATTGTCTGGTTTAAGTTTCAAAGTCACCCGTTTTGGCCAGCAGTGGTCAAGAGTGTCAACCACACAGATCAGACGGCAAGGGTCGTTTTGGTTGAGGAAAACATGCACCGTGAAAAGCGTGGCATTCAAGCGCCTCTTCGGAGACTGAAGCTCCTGGATTGTAAAGAGAAAGAAAAGCTGATGAAGAGAGCCAGGAGACTGTATGAGCAAGGTGTGAACTGGTGCTTCTCCCTGATCTCGCACTACAGAGAACGGCTCAGTCGTGGGGCCTTCACGGGCTCTTTCCTGGACTATTATGCTGCTGACATCAGCTACCCAATGAGAAAAGACATCCAAGAGGGCGATCTGTATATTGTGTTCCCAAAAGTGAATTATGCCGACCTGGAAGATTCTGAGGAGGAGAGCTACCAGGACGGGAAGCCCCGCAAGAAACTTCTCCCTGACCGGATGAAGGCCGCTCGGGACCGAGCCAACCGGAAGCTGGTGGACTTCATCGTGAAAACAAAGGGGGCCGACGACCATCTTCTAGACATCGTCAAAGGCAGGAAACAGTCCAGGTGGCTGGCATCCTTCCTGAAGTCAGAGAGGTATGTGATCTGCGTTGAAACATACCTGGAGGATGAAGATCAGTTGGATGTCGTGGTAGAACATTTACAGGAAATCTACAAACAAATAGACAAGAAGAAGCTGTCTCTGACAAGAGACGACAAAGTGAGTTTTGTTCTGGAAGTCCTTCTGCCAGAAGCCATCATTTGTTCAATTGCTGCACTTGATGGACTCGATTACAAGGAGGCAGAAGAAAAGTACCTGCAAGGGCCACCTGTGCATTCCCGGGAAAAAGAACTATTTGATAGAAACGTCTTTAAGACAGTGAGAAAGAGAGGGGGGACCAAGGCTAATTAGCTTGTTCCCTGCACCACACCTTCGCAGGGAGACCTCTCATTTGCATCATTAATAAGAACCCCTGCGTGCATAAACGTGGCACCCCTCCGTTTCTATGACGCTTAGCAACGTTCTAGAAAATCAAAATGTCAAATTTGGGAACCTGCTGAATTGGTTTTGGATCCATCTCTGGCATTTGTGGCTGTTTTGATTCACCATAAAACCACTGTATCTGTCTCCCTGAAACTCTGCTTCATCCTGGTTCAGACTGTACAACTACATAGCTGGAATGTCTAAAACACACACACTTACACACACACACACACACAACACACACATATGTATATAATATTGGGTTTTCAGAAAAGTCATGACACATTTTTTACAATGAAAACCATAGAAAAAATACGTCATGACTTTTCCAACAACCCAATATCTATACATTTTGGAATTTGGGTGGAACTGTCACAGTTCACTGAATTTTCTTCTCATTCTAAATATTCACTGTCTTGCTCATTTTTAGAATTTCAGAAGAAGGACATCAGATTGTAGAAGCTTCAGGCCCAACAGAATCCTCTAGGACACTGTCTAAGAGAGACCTGATCTCCTGGGGCGTTCTGCCCAGGCCAATCCATGTGACATCCTCATGGTCACGGGAAGTACTTACAAACGCCCCACCTCCATGTTCTATGTGAGCCTTGTACATCGGGACAATACACTAGCTTTGCTGTGACATCGTGTCTCTCTGTCAAATGTATCACTCAACTTGAGCTTTTCATGGAGCCACATCTATCTCTACATCTAACATTTTCTTCACTACCTCATTCATTCACTCACACATTCACTCATTCATTCATTCATTCATTCATTCATTCATTCATTGCATTGTGAGTCAGTAGAGCAAGTGAGACGTGGTTTAGGACTCTGATCCGAGGATAAATTTCAGGTGCCATGGAAAGTACATCACGGTCTTGTGCTGACTGGGATGCACTAATTCATCTTCTTAGTGAGAAATATTTATCAGTGCCATGGACTGATGGCCTGTCTGTGACACCACATTACAACTTCCCCCACATTTGTGAGATCCTGGGTCTCTGTTGGCTTGGGGCAAAGGGAGAGGACCTGTTCCCTCCTGGGGTGCCATTTAGACCTGAGGCATTCACTGAAAAGGGGAAGACATGCCTGGCACATGCATCTCTTCTCCTCCTCTGTGAATTGCAGTCACATTTAGGGTGTGGAACTGGATTTGTGGCTGGCTGTGTAAATTCTGAGATCCCTTTCAGCCTGAGCAGTTGTTAAGGAGGCTGTACGATTGACCAAAGCTGGTTCTCTATCATAAGCATGTGTATCTGATGGGAAAGCCCAACCTGTCTCCCATGTTCACCCATTGTTTAAGGAGACCTCATCTCCTCCAGTCATAAGGCAGATGGCTGAATATCAGGCCCTGATACTAATTGTTGGTTGGGAAAGCTGCACGGAGACAGCACCCACAGCATTTATAGGTCTCTATATCCATATATGGATCTAACAAAGAAAGAGTGGAACTCGGAGACCTGGAAATGTGATGTGCATACAAATCTTAAATACCTAAAATCCTCTGACCCCTCAGCCTGGCATTAACAATCCTTTTACCTTTGCTACTGGAGAGCAAAGGTCATGACGAGCATCAGGGATGTCATTGAGGACTGAATCATTGAGTTGCCAGTTGCAGAGTCAGGAGTCGTGCCTCCTGACATACCTAAGGGCATTTCTCCAGCTCCTGCCAATGGAGCCCGAGGCATAGGCACAGAAGCCTATGTACAGGGCAACTTCCCAGCATGCCCTTGGCACCAACTCCATGGGGAGACCTACCTTGTGTACAGCCTGGGCAGCCCCTCTTAGGCTGAGGGCTCACTCTGCCGGCCTTCCCCCTTGCTCCCTTTCATTGCGCATGGCAGGGTCTTTGGTGTAGTTTTGTCCTGAGGGATCCTACTATCTATGTCCCAGCAAGACTCCTCAGTTTAAGAAATGGCCCTACTTCCAGACTCTATGACCTCCACAGCCCTACCCCTCTCTCTGTCCTTAAATGGTATCATATCTTTGTGGTAGTACAAGTTAGGCATCTGGGACTAATTCCCTCGCACTTCCTTCTTTTCTTCATTCACGCATATTTACTGTCACCAAATTCTGTCCATTCACCTTCTAGCCATCTTTCAAATACACCCACTTCTCTCTACCTCCATACACTCCAAGTCCAAGCTGCCCCTATCTCTAGCCTAAACTACTGGCTTCATTCACCTCCCACCTGGTCCTCTGGGGGCCTCTCTTTCCTCCTTTATCCTTCTTTCCCAAAGCAGCAGAGAGATCCTTCGAAAAGTCAATCCAAGGGCTGGCCGAGTGGCTCAGTTGGTTAAGAGCATGAGTTCTGAGCAACAAGGTTGCCGGTTTGATTCCCACATGGGCCAGTGACCTGCGCCCAAGCTGAGCTGCTGACAGGTGTCAAGATGGCTCAGCTGGTGAGAGCACGTGCTCCTAAAAAAAAGTTTGCCGGTTGAACTCTTGCATGGAATGGTGGGCTGGTCCCTCCCCCCAGCCCCCGCAACTAAGATTGAACACGGCACCTAGAGCTGAGCTGCTACGAGCTTCCGACAGGCGGCCGGATGGTGAGTGGATTTGGAGCTGAGCTACAATAGCTGGCCATCCACAACTAAGATTAAAAAACAACAACTTGGCTGTTCCCCTTCCCCAATTCCCCAACATTGTTCTCCTCCCCCAATAAAAAACAATTTCATGACTAAAAAAAAAAAAGTCAATCTGAGCCTATCACATCCCTCTCTGATAATACCCAGGCTGGGGCTTTCTATCACCCTGGAAATGAATCCCAAGTGCCTGTCTGACCTCACCTTGTGGTGATTCCCCTACTTACTCTGCTCCAGCCATTAAGACTTCCCAGTTCTAGGGAAACACCAAGCTCTGGGACTGCTCTTCCACTTCAGACGGCCAACACCTCTCCATCCCGCAGGTGTCCATCCAATACTACTGCCTCAGCAGATGTGGTGGGAAGATTTGGTCACAAGTCTCCCTTCCCTCCATGTCCTTGCCATGCATGGTTTACTGTAGGTGGAATATACTTCCACACGCACTATCTTTGGGCTTTGGTCCATGGCTTGCATTGGCCCTAGAAATGTGAGTGGTATGAGGTACACCATGTCCAGCCAGAGACTTTATGCATAACTTGGCTTGCCCTCTCCTGCCCCTGTCCTGGACCATCTGGAGACCTTGCCTCACTCAGGTAAGCCACTGCTCCTTCCATCTGGGTCCCAGAAGGAGAAGACACATGGAGCATACCTGAAGCCATCTCTACAACCTGACACACAGCCACAAGTGACCCAAAGGCTTGTTCATGAGAAATAGACATAAACCACTGAGGTCTGAGGCCTGCTGGTTACGCTGCGGTACTACAGCAGACAAGACTGCCTCAGGGGAGAAGCACTTAATCTGAATGAGAATTCACTGAAAGTCTGGATAGATGAACAGTGAGATCCCCAGCTCCATTTCCCACCCAGCTCTTAGACCACTGGCAACCAGGCAACTATCTCCCAGGCAAAAGATGAAAACAATTCTCCATGGAGGAAGAAAGAAAAAAAAAACTAGCTAAAGAGAAAAGGCCTGCAGACTCTAGTCATGAGAAAAGTAATCATAAAAAAGCCAGTTTACCTCATCATCCCACAACCATGCCCCCCAGTGAGTAGGGCTTCCCCACCTCCATACACACAGTTTCCAATCAGTTCCAATTCATTTGTAAGGACCTTACTCTTTTTCTTTAATAAAAAAAATGTACCAAAATATTCATGTTGAAGTGGGAAGAGTGACTATCCATGGAAAGAGGCTCTTCTGCCTTTGCAAAAGGGGGTGTGGTGTGCAGCATCTCGCTGCAGTGGTTCTGCATTGCTTCATGCTACCGCAGCTCTCCATGCCACTGCCACACTTACCCTGGATAACCCACTGTACTCCCAGCCACTCTCTCCTCCCCTGGGCTGCTTCTGCACCCATTCTCCATGTAGCAGTCAAGGGGTCATTCTAAAATGCCCAATGGATTACATCACGGCTTGGCTCAGAACCTTCCAGTTGCTACCGGACTGCTGTCCATGGCCTAAGGGGCTCCTGCCTAGTCCTCCCAGTGCAGCTCTAACTCGTCTCCCTTTCACTGGTTCTACCCCAGGCAAAGTACACGGGACTTTCCGTTTCTTGAAAACACCTCTCAGAGATTGCACCGTTTTTGCTCCCTTCACTTGCCTGCACTCACATTTCCCCACGCCTCCCCAAACTAGCGCTCCTTCTCATCCTTCTCTCCTTTACTAAAAGAGGCTTTTTAAGCCACCTGTATACAGTAAGCTTCCTCCCTCAGTGCTGTTCATCTTTTTGTCTTAACATTGACCATAATTTATAATTGCATAGATTTTTTTCCGCTTCCTTGAGTTATTGTCTGTTCCGCCAGTAGACTGTAAGGAACACTGGAGCAGCCTTCACTATGGCATTCACTGCAGAGTCCCTAGCATCTGGTTCAAGGCCTGGTCTGGAGGAGGCCTTCCAGAAACAGCTCTGAATAAAAGAGGAAGGAGGTATCACTAATAGGGTGGAAAGTGCTTGATGTAAGTACTCATGAAAAGGCAGACCCCTAGCTTCTGTGTGTTTGGTAGGGGGAGATTTATATAAAAATGAAATGATTGCTTCTTTGCCCCACTGCCAAGTCCTCTGCCTTCCCTCTGCAGTGTTCCCCTATCCTGGCCCCACTGCTGGCCCTGACTCACCTGGCCGAGGGCTGCAGCAAAGGCAGAGACACTGGAGAGAAGGGAGAGGACTGGGACTTGCATGCAGAGCGAGTCCTGGAGGAAGAGGCTAGAGAGGAGAAAATGAAGGAAGAGAAACCTGGGTCCATGTGGGGAAGGAGCGGGGAACCTTCCTATGGGCGGCAGGGGCTGCCTGGTGGAGATCCTTGCTTCTCTGTGGCTACCTGACAGCAGGTAGGAGTTGAAGACCAGGACCCACCTGGGGCCCTTCTGTCACTGCCTCTAGGAGCTCAAGCTCCCACAGATGATTCGAGACTGCAGAAGAGGAGAGAGAAGGGGAGAACTCAAGGCCATCGTGTCTCCATGCACAGAAGTCACTGTGACCCTGTGGCACATGTCCATCCCATCTCTTCCCTGGAGGCTTTAACAAGACATCCACGTGGGCGAGTTTCTTGTCCAATAGCAGAAGCAACACATGCTCACCACTGGGAGAGTGCCAACGACCCATGTTTTGCAGGTCCTTCCTTCAGCTCTGTTTCCCAGGGTGGTCACCGTTAACAATGCCTGTGTCCC